AACACACTGACCTTGCCCTCGACTCGCTTCGTTGACCTTGGACTTCCGCATCATCTAGCGGCATCATTAGAAATCAGACGTTGCTGTCTATCGCGGCAATTTTGAAAACTCCGGTCGAATCTTGCGATAATTCGGTAAAATAATGTTGCCATGACTTTTGAAGTAACCATCGTAATTCACAACTGCGAACAAAATATCTTTGTGCTTTCCACTGTTTTCTTTGTAGACATGTCACTTGCTTTATCAAAATCTAATGTTTTCTTCCTGTCACTAATATTTAAATTAAACTGTGACTCTACAGCTCTGTGGAAAAAAGAGCTACAGGCATCCAGAGGAATACTACTGTCTAATGACAAGATGGAGGTGCATCTCGATATGTACAGCGCAAAGGCACGCGAAGGAGCAGTATCAGCTCTGAAAGAAGGTTTCACATGCAAGAAGAACAGTGACATGCTGGGAATCATGGGAAGCTTCCGTAAACTGGAGGTTGACTAACCTCACAAAGAAACTGACTCATAAAATTGTGATTGTGCTTGTCCTGCACTGCACTTCAAGAGAAATCCTCACCCATTTACAAGGTTGAAATTCTGTCAACTGGTTAAGAACTAAATGACAGTGAATGTGTTCACAACTGAAATCATATCAGACTATAAGAACATGCTACAAGGAACACAATTGGGGTGAAAGAGAACTAGGACAGAGATGTAACAGTAAATGCAGAATGTGCACTGTAGCAGCTGGATTTTATCTCCAATATGTCTGTACTGCCTCCTGTAATATAGTTGAATTTATGCGCTGATCAGTTTCCATTTAAAGTATGCATAATATATACAGAACTTTTAATTCAAGGAAGTACCAATTTATATGGTGAATCCTAAAAAATAATATGAACTATAATACGACAACACAAGTAATGGCTGGCGAGGAACTACTGTTTTGGTGTTACAAATTCAAATCTTCCTTTACTATCCTATAATGTTCCATTATTATTACAGATTTTATAAATAATCTCAAATAATAACCAATGAGTGTTCAATCAAGTGGGCCACTATCTTGTACAGAGGAGGAAAATGTAACTAGTTGCACAGGGCCACAGAAAAATGTCAATGCAGTGTTCCCTCTTTTTCAACAGAGATGAAACAATTTCACATTTTTATCTCACTATGTTTATTTAAAGTACATAGATATGAGCTTAATCTAAGATTTTACACATATTATCTTACATTTTCTTTTTGTTCACATTTCAGTCACAGGGTATTTTGAACATTCTGTTTAGTGACGTACGAACACAGACCGTAATGTCCATAGGGACTCCGCTGTTTGCTATAGGAATGGATATATCAGGAGTACTGGCATCAAACTCAGCAACTTGTTTATTACAAAATATTATACAAAGACTTCTAAAAATAGTCACCAGGGTTTGTTAAACATTTCCTACACTCTTTATAAGATGTTACACCACCATACCCCATAAAACTTCTTTCTTAATTATAACCTAGCACCTGAAATGGGGATAACATATGTACAAAAGGCAGTCCTGCATTGGCTTACACAAATGGAATTCTACATTTAATTATTTCCAAAAATTGAAAGGAAATTCAAAGGAAATACACTTATTATAAAATTAATCCTGACTCATAACTATATTTCTGTGTATCAATTTTCTGTTAATGGTAAGCTATGTCATTAAGATGTTATTTTTACTGTAATGATAAAATAAAATACAAACAATGTGATTACACATACATTATGTAATTTCACAGCTTGTGTCCTCTGATGCAACAGTGCCTATGGTTTGCATTCTTCATGATAAGGCTCAAGTGTCCTGAGGTCCCTCCAAGTGGGAGGCAGGGAACTGTTGAGGTGGTTTCCGCAGCGCTTGCACGGGTCGTTGAACAGTGTGATGTAACTATGAAACCAAGTCTAAAAATTTCAAACATACCAAATTCATCAATACTAAATGAGCACAAATTTGCTCAATGAGATATCTGACAATACCACTAAGTCCACAAATGGATCCTATCATCAGCCAAATCAATCCAATCACCATCACCACAAATAACTCCCAAACATCTGTTTTAATACTTTCCTCTCACAGAGAATTCTTTGAGAAAACATAAGCCATATTCCATAGATTATGTTCTTTTCTCAAAGTAAGAAGCAGCAAGCACAGAAAAAAATGTGCAATCAGCACAGCAAAGAAAGAGGATACTGGTTGGTGCAAATGGCACTTAAAAAACAAGAGACGTACACCATAACAGAAATATTAAACATTGACTGTAAATACATTTTATGCCACACAACTCAAAATTTTACCCACCACACTTTCAAACACCAAAGAACCCACGAAACTGTATGCAGTTTCCTGGAGGCATTATCCAAGATCTTTAGGGGTCATACGCAGAACATCTATAACATCAACTGTACCATCAAGCATAAGAAAATTATGTTTTTTTATACAGAAATATGTGATAAGTATAAATACTGAATAGAGAAGAATATGTGAGGAATCAGGTACAACCTATGTAAGATTTGAGGTTTTAACAGCGGACAACCTACTTTTGATGTTTGATCCTGAAATATGTTTGGAGAGGCGGAGGAAAAACAAAACAAAAACAGAGTCATGACCAAGATTCAAATTGGCATCCTCAACAATATAAAACGCCTGCTAACAAGTACACAGTGACACTCAATAATAACCTGTAGAGACACTTTAGAAACGTCCTACTTCAAAACCAAAAAGCAGCAGCACAGCAAGATCCAGCTGTATAGATATTACTGTTAAATTTCAGTTATCTTTAAAAAACTGTACAGGCAGGGCTGTCATGAAATAAGAGAAAAATAAACAACAAAGAAAAAGCTTAATAGGAAAAGACAATAAATCAAAAGTTTTGTGCATGGTCCTCTATTGCCTCCATATTTGACACTGGTGTTTTACCTGGTATCTCATACCAGCCATAGACTCCTGAAAACACAAATATAAGATCAACTTCTACTAGACACTTCACATCATTTATCTTACCATGAATGAACGTACAGCCAGTTCTGGAAGCGTGGGAGAGGAGAAATGTAGCATAGCGGCATGAGCATTTTCTGTTACTTTTCTAAACACTTTATGCCGAGATTCTGTCCATAGGTCTAATGTCTCACCATGACCCTTCACTACCACCCACTCAATCATCAAGCCCTTGAAGGCTATTACAGCCTTCAGGACACGTCCCAAGGAGATCTGCAACACATGCACATGCTAACAACAATGGACTTATATCAGCACTTTACAGTGAATTCAAGGATTCATTCTTCAACTGCTACAGATTAAATGCTTGATTACATTCCGGTGCCACTGGCTAAATTCGCGTGTCGTGGAATAGTACGTGGAACCTTCAAAGCAGAAAACAGTTACCTATGCATCAGGTAATGGCAGCACAAGAAACAGATTTTTTGCTAGGCACAATGATTAAAAAGAAACCAAGGCTGTGAGAGGCAAATTATTGATAGGATATAGTTGGTTAAAGGGACACCTATTCAAACCGCAGCAATGGATAATCCTACTTTTAGAAAACAGAAGATGATTGTCTCCCCACTTAATGGTACCCACACCTTGTCGTAGTGGTGGGGCTTGAGTCCCTCAGTGACCCCAAGAGCTATGCTGGCGGGAGCATAGCTACTGGTAGGGCCTCCGTAGCCAGATTGGTCGAGAGGGAGAGGTCAGACTAAGACAGGTACCCTGGTCCTCCAGGTTGGGGGTTGGTCGCAAGGCTAACAACTTTGCAGCGTAAAAAGGAAGATGTTTCGAAACCTCGATCAAAGCCTCGGACAGATGGACCTAACAGAGGACCGAATGGAAGAGGAGAATTGAGGAGGCCATGGACTGAATACGGACCGGAGAGACATAGAAGAAGAAGACTGTCTTCTGCAATGTTGTGCCATGTAGTCTGGTAGAGTTCCAGTGATGTTTTAGAAGTGTTTGTTGCCTCCACCATCAGGGCTATCCAGAACCTCTTCAATGTTGGTAAACTTCTACCAGATTATACAGTGCAACACCCCAGGAAACAGTCATCTTCATACTTGCTGCCATGAGAGCCTGAAATCTTACGAAGATGATACATTCAAATGCATAACACACAACTGTGTACCTAATACAGAATCCCAAGAAGAACTTTATTCAGAATGCAAACATTCCTGTGAGATAATAAAATAAGATGCATAATGGGTGTGGGAAAAAAGAAAAACTGGCCATGGTATAACATGTAACTCCCTCCCGAAAATTATAGAAGCTGCATACTTTTCACAGATTTATCATAATAAAATCTTTAGCATCCTGTATTTAAGTAGCACAAGTATTGCTCCAACATTTTAACTTCATATGTCCACTATATTGATGTTGTTAATGATAAATGTGACAAGATGGAAAGTTCTCCAAGAATCAGAATGACAAGACAATTGGTCAATAAATATAATAAATTATTCTCTTTGAAAGGTGGATTTTTTTCAACTTTCAACCACCTGACATGGCTGGGAGCCCAAGAAGATTTATTGCACTTGGATGCTGTGAAAGCTCCAGGTCACAGTCGATGAATGAATGTAATACTGACACCTGTAACCAAATCAGGAGACATACACTCTCCTTTGGAACCCTAAGAATAGACAAGGTACAATTATTTTACACCCATACATGACAAAGACTTCATCCCCAAGCCTTTCTTATCTATAGTTTTTCAAGCAAAGATAGAAATAGATTAGCATTAACCACTGGAAGCTGAATTTTATCAAACAATATTTAAAAATTAAGTCCCTATATCAAAGAAAACACAATGTCACCATTATAAAAACAACTGACTGGTGCTGTTTAGAAATTCTGATTGCCAATTACTCTTGAGAATCAAATGAAACCCATAAACACACTGTATGGGCAAAATGCAGATTGTTAAAACACGTTGAACACTGGGCTTTCAAAGATTAAAAGCATCCATCCATCGCTGAGGTGCATTCCAGGGTTCTGAGATCTTACAAGCAGTAATACTGCTTGTACTATGAGATGGATGTGTTTGCAATATATATTCCCTATGTACATTAACAAGAGCGAACTCAGTTATGAAAATATATCTGAGAGAAAGGTGCCCAAGGGACATGGAAACAAATCAGTCTTTAATCCCAATATGAAGTAACATGCAAATCTCTTTACCTGCAACAGAGCATTGGTGGCAAATGGCCTGGTGATGGTAACACTCATGTCACTGAATAAACGGTCGATAGTATTGATAACAGTATCCACAGCCCTGAAATAAAAACAGGGCCACCATTCTGTAGTGTGTCCACTCACGAAGTTGAACACAATTGTCACTGACCACCCACCAGCAGGAACTGTTACATCATCGGTTAATTTCGATTTATTCTTTTTATGGAGAGATAAAAATCTGTGGTGTAACAGCCCTCTGAGAGCCAAAGCCGACTAGCTGACTGCTGGCCTCACGTTCACATGCCAAAGCAGAGGTGAACGATCATCCAACCAGATATAGGGTGATGTGTGGTCAGCACGACGAACCCCCGGCCATTGCTAGTTTTCATAACTCGATTACGCTACCCATTGTAGCTTCCCAATTTCCTCACGATGCTGGGTTGGCTCCGGTCCCACACACCGGCCAAAAATCTCATGAGAAATTTCTTTCCCCGAGACTCAAACCAGTCCGAAGCATGATGCCTCAGACCGTGCGGCTATGGCGCGGGACTTTATGGAGAGATACTCAAATCATATTGGGAACCTTCTAGTGTTTTGGCAATGAGTCATGTAGTTTCAACTGAGAAGTCAAAAGCAATAGCTGTGTTCAACTCAATCAACTAATCCTCAACAACAAAAGCACATACATAACTTTATCATTTTCTAACCCATTATCATGGCAAAATATGAGAAAAAGGCAGAGATATATCAACGACCCAGGAATGTTAAGCAAAGGTTCTTTGCAGTCTTTTTAAAAGAGTACATTTGAAGTTTCCTTATGAACTTTCAATTCACCCACAGTCCCATTACAGCCACCCACAATGTCACTAATATCAGTTCCTGATCACATGCATGGTACACTGATTCAAATATCACAAAAAGGAAAGTAGTATTAATTATTGTGATACATACTGAGCGGGAACATTATGACTGCTCGTTTGAGTGCGGCGACGTTTGGCAGTACTGGAGTTTATGTATGACCTCTTCAGGGAGTTCTGGCTGAGCAGAGTTGCAGCAAGACTACTGTATTCATGTACCTGCAGAACAAAACTGGAATGTTAAATTTTCAAGTTAAATATTCAACAGGTTAAGGACCAGTAGTGGGATTTCATTATCACAATAATGAACCATCGGGTTCCAAAACAGTTAATTCCTTAACCAGCTGAATAATGATAAAATGCTCATCAAGTTCTCGTACCTTGGAGATACATACTGGACTTCATGTATATATAAGTGCAACAGGTAATAAAGATGTAAATGTCTTTTATAAGTCACTATATTCACATCATTTCATAAAAAATGTGAGTTTTGGAACATAACCTAAATCATCCCTATACAATGTAGAATTTACACACCTTGTCAGTCCACTTGTAGCTGTTTACCAGTTGGGAATACAAGGCTTGCCTATCCTGTGTACTCTCCTGACTTAAGTATGCAGTGTTACCCAAGTTAAAGGGACCAGGAGGTGGTGACAGGCTGTTTACTGCTTGCTCAACATCTCTGTAATTAGTATAACATAAACTTAATGCTTATAAAATGAACTATAACAATGAATGTTTTAGCTCCACTGTTTTTCAATCCTTTCATTAAAACAATACCAATGAAGTCAATAAGGAAAGCTAATACTCTAAAGCCAGTTTTCTAATACTTGTAAGTAATTATAAAAAGAGATATGCCACCACACAAAATACTCTAAATATGTACTGCTTCTTATGCAGACAAAAGGTCTCTATGACTGTTATTCAGATTTTACAGCAGTCTGTCAATTCCTGTTCAGCCTGTAAAAATTATTCTGGTAGCACTGGGATCACATTTACTCTAAAAATGCTTCCATTTCTGAAGTTCAAGAGAATCATGAAGGCTGGGTCTGAATGTTGTGCATAATATGTTTTTGCTTATGACAATATCGACAACATAGAATTATAATTAAAATAAAAAGTTACAGAACTAAATATATCATAAAACAAACATTTGCAATAAAGTACCAATATAACTACAGGTGCAGAACTAAATATATCTTAAAACAAACATCAGCAATAAAGTACCAATATAACTACAGGTGACAAACCATTTTAATAATTCTACGTGGAAACAACAGAAAAGAGGTTTATGATGACTAGAATAAAAGCAGTAAATATATTATTGTTTAATTAAAAAACTAAGGACATTGCATTCACTGATAAAGCTACACACAACTGTCACTTCCCAACTCCTGGCTAGAAATATGTGACTCACCACCAAACACTATAAAGTTGTCCTGACAGAAATCAAGTTATCATTCCATAAAAACAATATTACAGCAGTTACTCCCAGGAGCCAGCAAGTGACAGACCATCAGTGAATGCACTGTACCAAAGTATAGGAGGCTTAATTAATTTAAAATACATAGGTAATAACTGTGAAATGGACTTTCACTGAACTGTGTTGGCTGAAGGACAGTTCACTGCTTCCCAGGTGTAATAAGTATTTGGATACTGTGCAACAAATTTGTACATTTTCTCTGCACAAAATACTGCACACTATCAGATCACTTCAGGTCCTGATTTCACAGTACAAAAAAGTCTTCCTGACACTGCATGGACAGTATATGCAAAACTAATTTTACCCAGGGATGATGCTTTTACTAATAGCGATTCTGACGACACTAAAAACTATGAAACAAGGAGAAATCCTGTTTCTCTAAATGAGAAATCTTATGAACTAGAACCTATGTACATTATATAATGTTTACGATTTGTCAAATAAGTTATATAAAATCTGGAAGGTCCTAAGGGATAAACAGTGAACATGCTTCAAAGCAATAAACGTCAGTTAGAATCAAATTCCGTCACCTGAGATTAATATTCACGGTGCTAAGTAATTCTTGTAATTCAAATAAGAATTTCGTATCCTTCCCATCTTCGCCATGGTCAGCTCTCAGTCCGTTTCCAAGTGTATCATAAACTTCACCTACACTCGAACGCAAAACCTTCACGGAATTCAAGGCTGTGTACAACGCAGTCTCCATTATACACCGAACATTAATCGAAAATTGACCACTAATTTGCAAACGCATAAAAACTACATACCATCTTCCTTACATCTATTTCAGTCACTGATAGTACCAACATTTCAATTAGTATCGCGGAGGAGGCACATTACCAATACAACCGTAAACAACACCACCATTCGGGAGTCCAAGCGGATTACAGCGGTACTTGAATTTCTTCCTCCTCCTGGACGAAGTGCACTCTATCGGCAAAATTGGAAATCATTACAAGGCTGAGACACAATAATAGGCCGGTTTGAAATAAAATAAAATACTAATAAACAATTTTAAATGAAAACCCCGGTTTGAAATAACATAAGATACTAATAAACAATTTTAAATGAAAACTACAATCAGTAAGTTTCAATACATTAATTTTACTGTATATTTCTCTATAAAACGATATTAAGAAATATGCACTTTACTTTATAGAAAGTGCTTAATATTAATTCAAATATGATCTAAAACAGCAGTCAAAGGTAGTGCTAGATTTTGTACTATATATTACTGAGAAATAGCAAAATAAGGTGTACTTGCTTCGGCAGTACATATACTAAAATTGGAACGATACAGAGAAGATTAGCATGGCCCCTGCGCAAGGATGACACGCAAAATCGTGAAGCGTTCCACATTTTTTATGGACCCAAATTTCAATTATTTTACCTCACAGAAACATCATTTAACATTCAAACAAGGCATTTTGTGAACGTGCTATCTTTAGCTTCGATGGATCAACAAAATGAATAAACACAAAAATAAAACTCAGAATTTGTTCTACGTATGTTTCTCGTCTATTTGATTCAGGGTGCTTCAGCATATTTTGAGGTTAAAACGGTTCTGAAAGAACGTTAGGGTATCACTTCCATAAGGTGACTGAGGAAAGCATCTTACTCTGGACAACTGTGGCCTTTTATACAGAAAACTTAATGTTTCATCCCAAGACCTGAACCCTGGATCTCCTGAATATGAAGCAAAAGTAAGAATTCAAAGCCACACATGCAAGATAATTCTTACAGGATTATTTGTAAATATGACTGTTCCAGTAGTGTAACTGAAGGTCTGTATAGAACTGAAATATATAACCAAGGATTTGTATTTATTATAATATCATGTTCATTACTAAAACACATATGTAGCATTCATACATTAAAGTTAAATTAACATAAACATTCTGTGTATGTATACATCTATTCAAACTTGCAGCAGTATACATTCTGTCTTTATTTTCTTGGAAAAACTGTACTGACTCCAGAAACATATGCACTATGTTTTCACCATATCTATCTATTAGTAGCTTAACCCAGTAATGAGTCATCACTGCCTCCTTTCAGAGATTTCTTGGTCTTGAAGTGTGCATTTATGAGCAGTGAGTTACAAGCCCACTGACTGCACAATGTCTACTCAATCCTGATTTTACTGCCAGAGCCATCTAGCAGTGAATCAGGAGGGGCTTGGGTGAGAAATGGCCACTGAATTTTGCTTACGAAACATCTTGTATCATGCTCGTAAGGTTCTTTTACATGCCATAAATCGATGACATGGGACCGCCAGCTTTATTTCCCTTCTGAAGGAAGTTGTGCTATGGATTTTTATCACCCTTAAAAATTCATCGACCTCAGCCGGGATTGAACCTGTGAACCTTGGGTCCAGTGGTGAGCATGCTAACCACTAATCCACCGACGGCGACTTTCACCATATCATAATCATATAATTCTTTTTCATTCCTTTGGCATTGACACTACACAACAGGATGTAATGTTATATTAACGTAACAACAATTATATTACTTTCTAGTGTCTTTGCTTCTTCTTTGTCTCCATTTGACTAAGTCTGTTTTGCTGTGTTTCCCTCATTTCTTTTGACATCTGTTTCCTCCTCGCCTTGCATTTGACTAGGTACTACATGATATGAAGCTTTTTTCTTCTGTACTTTCCATCTGTCTCTGTCTCATATGACGTGTTTCTTTTTTCTTCTGTAGCATCATTGCTTTCTCCTCAAATGTCATTTGGCTGTATTTGTGTCTTTTAGCATCTCTATTCTTCTGCAGTATCCTCGCTTTCTCGTCACCTGACATCTGACTATACCTGTTTCTTTTAGCATCTCTCTTCTTCTGTAGAATTCTTGCTTTATCATCACCTGACATCAGACTATACCTGTTTCTTTTAGCATCTCTATTTTTCTGTAGAATCCTTACTTTCTCCTCCCATGCCATTTGACTATATCTGTTTCTTTTAGCATCCCTCTTCTTCTGCAGCACCCTTGCTCTTTCCTCACCTGTCATTTGACTGTATCTGCTTCTTTCAGAATCTCTCTTTTTCTGCAACTTCCTTGCTTTATCCTCATTACGTTTTCTTCGTTGTGCTTCTTCCCTCTTATGTAGCCATTCATAAGTCTTTTTATCAAGTTCCATGCATTTATTTTTACTTTTCTGGCTAATTTGAATGTCTATTTTTGAAAAATTAAAGTCTAGGCCCGGACTATCTCTTTCTTGTAAAACACTGTGAAGTCCAGCATCTGTAACATTAATGTAAAACAAACATATTTTCTTTCAAAGATTTGAAGACTAGATCCTGTTGTTCACATTTTCTAAATTGATACAACTCTTACATTACAAATGTCACTTTAAGCTCTAATTTCAAAATGTCCACCATAAATTCTACTGCACCTCACATAATGTGCATATTCTCACACAAATATAGCCTAAATTGATTAGTTTTAAACAAGACACTGAACTATCAAATCTAAAGCTTCTTGACGATGGTGAAGAGTCAATTGAATAAAAATTTCCTTGGATATTATCCATCGTCTAGTAAATATAAAACGTGGATGGATAATATCCAAGGAAATTTTTATTCAATTGAAGACAATGAACTGATTACAGTTTATCACACCTCCCCATTTACTACTACCATCTCTGTGGTCACAGTGTGACCACAGAGATATAGTAGGATAAACGTGTTCATTTCCTAAATAAGTAAGATACTTGGGTAATTTGCTGCAGGCCTTACATTTGCAAAAATATGTCTTGTTATCATCACTGCCACTGATGGGAATGCCACTGGAGTCTCGCAGTGTATCCACTTGTTTTACTGACAAATCGTTATGTAAACTGGAAAATAATATAATATACAGTTAATTTTTCTTATGGAACATATATAAAAATGAACATAATACAAGATTCTGGCATAAATATATTTGAAAAGAGGACAACATTAAAAGGCATAACCTTCACCAAGATGATATTCAGAGAAAAAGGAAGTCTGACAATGCTGATCCAGTAACCAGAAAAAACAATCTTCTTTAATTCCATACTTCAACACCAAAGGATGTAAAAAAACACCATTTCAATCCAATCCATATCATCTTAAACAATTTCCTTAAAACCCCTTTTCAGACCACATTCTGCAATTACAAACATATCTAGGGTCCAATAAATGCCAACTTCATGTCCATTCTTTTAACAACTGACATTTTCTTATAAAGGATGGTTTGTGTGCCATAATGTGAATGCCACAGCAATAACCTCTATACTAGAAGTTTCATAACCAGCTCAACCAAACCCAAACTATCTGACAACAGAAATTTTGGGTTCATCACTGCTAATAACCAAGTTTGCCAATAAGCAATATTCTGAGCCTGTTCAGAAACTTTTCCTCCAAAATTAAGTTTAATATCATTTGTCATCTACGCCTAGGTATCCCAAACAACCTCTTCATTGAGATGAACATAGCGATGAACCTTCAGATTACATAAATACACGGAATATCTTGACAAACTGTATTACAGTCACTTGCTGAAGGAAAATTTATGCCAAAGAGTTGTTCAGTTGGTGAATTTAAGATATTTTTTATTCCACTTTTTTGCTTTTCCTCTGTTACTGCCCTGCATTAACATAATATTCTCACCTGGGAAATACATAATTTCCTTCTTCCTTAAAAACAATAATTTAAAATGAAGCTAAAATCTGGTGTACTACGATGAACACACTAATAGTACTTTACGGGTCACAAATGTTAACTCGCCAAAATGAAGTTTCCAAGACTATTAGGAAGTTATAATTTCTTTCTTCCTCAAGTCACGGCACTAAAATCCAGAAGAGAACAATCATGATACACTCTGGTCAGATTATCTATGCTGGTTGTAATGTAAGATCTCTTAAAATATTTGCCACTTACCTAGTACCTTCCATAACTCCAAAACACATTTCATTTGTTTGTACAGAAACTTCATCTTCTACTTCTTCTTTAATCCTACCAAAGCCAAATTTCTCAAAATATTCTATATGTTCTTCTTTAGTTTTACAGTCAGTTTCTGTCTTACTTGGTGTAACATCTGCATACTCAAAATTCTGTCTACATTCTTTTGAGGCTGCTTTTTTCGTATTCTCAACATGATCTCCGGATTCTTGCTTAACAGAATTCTCCTCTCTGTCACCCTCTACATGAACCACATTGCCCTGCTGAAGACATATGTGATACTGTTAGAAGAGCCTCACAGTTCTGCAGATGGTTATATATTACAAAGTTATCAGATGTCTATAAATACTTAGCTTGCATTTATAATTGCCACCCTTGAATTATTTATGCATCTGTATGTAGATTATGATCAAGTTTCTTGGGTTAGTATTATGCAAAAATATTTTTTGTCTAAAAGTTTTGATAACAGTGTGTAATTTAAAAGGTAAGGTAAGTGGGAAGATTTTCAGACAACCCTCATAAAGTGAAGACATCTTTGAAGGAGCATAACAAAGAAGAGGTTAGAGAAGAAAGACGTAGGAGCAGCAGGAGAAGAAATCAATTATCTTCACACTTAGCCATAAACTCACTCCTTCACAATACTGTGAGAAACTAGCTAACCGTATAACACTTACAATCTGTACTTTCAAAGCCAATGGCTGGGTGGAATCTGATGATATGGACTTACAGTTTTCATTTTGCTGTTCCATATGCCACCTGCCTTCTGCAAAAATAACAGTTAATTAAGATAATGTCAAGTGTTTACAAAACTGCATGCTTTAAGAGTAATTTACTTTTCTTTTTTGGCTTTCAAATGGGTATTTGGTTATCAGTTATTTTAATACAATGTATAAACTGCTGCACTTATACAACACAATAAAGTTTTAATAACTGATCATTCAAGATAGAAGAGAAATTAAGTGCTTCTTATTTCAGGGTATTAACCAGGCATCTGGCTAAAAGAATCAAGCAAAATCATAAAACCCCATCAGAACAGCTAGTCCCTCACTGGGGTTTGAACCAGATGCCTCCTTAATGCAAATCAGATGCAAAAAACATAACACAAGGAAATTTGGTTTCTTTCAACATCCCACAAATTAATCACTGCATTATAAGAACGCTGATTCATTTTGAGTGGGATAATTCTGCAAAAATTGTTAAATTTATGTAGCCATTCTCTGTATCATATGCTCTCACTGAATGCATTACTATCAAACAGCTTTTGTTCCAGACATCAGAATAAGGCAGGAGATACTGTAGTGAGCAGCAGTAAGACAAGGTACAACGGTCTAGACTAGTAATTTTAACAGAAATACAAGTTTTGGGTCTAACACTGGTTTTCCGATTATGGGTTTAGACTAACAATTATTCGCTGGGGACAGATCATTGATATATATGAGGGAAAGCAAAGGACCTGAACCTTGAGGAACTCCATGTTTTATTATGCTGCAATTTGAATAGGTGCTATTATTTGAATCTGGTGAATTTATTTCTGCTTGCTGCCTTCTGTCATGAAGGTACGATTTAAACCACTTACCACCTCTCCTTCAAATTCCATAAAAATGTAGTTTTGACAGAAATATTTCATGGAGGTCAAATAAAGTTCCTCACATTACAATTAAGTAAACCATTGCGAAGATACACACTTAAATTTATAACCTATAGTCTGCCATCAAGGTGCAAAATCTTCACTTTTAGCCCTTACATCATCAGTGTATGTACAGAGATCACATTGGCTGCTACACCACAGCAGCCTTTTCACAATGCGCGACCACTACACTTGTTGCCATTTTCCCTAGTAGGTCATTTGCGAAGACTGCTGCAATATCATGAAATTTACTTATCTAGGTTACAGATACTAAAAATTGGCTCGGATACATTTTCTACGCTTCTAATCAAAAATTATGTCTGCTGTATGACGTGGATGCAGTGAGTACACACCTGTTGTTTCATAAGGCCGTACTTGCAATAATTCTCTAGCAGTTCTAACCGTTCCTGCGCAATACGTTTAAGGGACTTACGAGCTGACTGTTCAAACAGAGCTCCGATTTCATCCAACTTTTCTTCTGTTAATACTCTTCGTCGCCGTTTTGGTTTACTGTCTCGTAAGACACCTGTTTTTCTTACTTTATTGACAAGATAATGAATAGCGTATCTGGTCGGAATTCGCACTCCGGGAAACTTTCTTCCAAATTTCCTTTGACTCTTCCTAGCGGAGTTATACCTCACATAAGAGTCATATAAAAACAACCGTTGCTGTAATGTAAACTTTTCCATTTCCTAGACAAAAGTAACCTACAATGATAGGTTACCCAGTCTGTAGAGTACAAATATACGTCATGAGCCATAACTGAACTTCAAAAAGACAGCTTCAGCTTTCTCTTATCATCGCTGCTAGTTAGTGCAAGAGCAGTGGCTGTGTCGTTATCTTTCGAATTTATCGCATCTATGAGAGCATTTGGAATCAATAGTAAAAAGAATCCACGCCCAGCGATGCTAGGTTATACTTCGGGTTGGAAGAGCGCACTCTTCGGAGTACACTAAAATTTCAAGAAACAACCGTACATTTGCTATCATTAATATTTTCATGTACTCATTCATCGCCTTCATTTGTAGTAATGAGACAGGCTAAAGCCAAACATCCAAGGGAATGCAATAATTATTAGGTATGGTTAATAATCACTCATGTCAACAGATTATTCTCTCCTCCAACGCTGCCATGAAAAACACCAACACATGGCATTTGATACCCAAGCCAAGCCTATAATGTAACCATCATCCCATATTTTATGCAAATCCAATTAGGTTTTTTCAAGTTGTATGGAATGCTGTAAGCTGCGAGAGACATGGATGGGCTCATGAGGCATTCTTCACTTGTGCTAAACCACAAGCAACACCTAATAATCCAGTATCTATGTTTATTGTTTGTCATGTGCTATTCAAACACTTTTACACATTTGATGAATGGGGGAAATCAATTAGAGGAAGAAAGGGTGATTCTTAATTACATGCAAAAATATAAAGTGTGTTCTGCTTCTAAAACAAGCCAAAAAGTTCCTACAAACACATGGTCAAAACCGCTTTATTCAGAACAGGAAGCATAAAGAAATGAGACATGGAAAGTTTTAGCAGCACATTTACTCACTAATTTTTAACATAAGTCTTAATATTTACAAAAGTTGCTGAAAATATTCTCTATTAGTCCAAATGCATAACAGCCCGTGACACCATGAATGCTAAATAACTCGTCTTATGTCATACTGCCATCCCAGCCATTCAAATCATTTGCCAAATTGTCTTGCATGTTTATTCCTTTTGAGTAAATTATGCCCTTCAGATGAGCAATTGCACAGGCTACAAAACCGATCTGGATCAACGTGGACAGCAAGAACCCAAAATTAGCTGTCATGGGTAAAATAAGCAGGAGCTCTTTCATGCATAAACCATACAGATTACTGCATTGCAGTGATAAATCCTCCAGTAGCTGTGGCAAGTGTTGCATTAAAAAATGTAAGTAGGAAGCCCCTGAGAGTTAAGGCAGTAGCTCATAAGATGCGATGAGGAGAATGCAACTTATTCTCACACACTAACATAACTGTAAACTGATGCTTCATCACTGCACACTTGTCATATCTTGCTAACAAAGTGGCTGACTTCATGGCTTGATTTCTGGTGCAGAACACAATCCTTTTATTACATGTCATTAAGAATCAACCCATATATCACAGCTGAGATTTTCTTATATGTTATGGGGCTGGTACTACTATAATTCATGTTGGCTGCCTGAAGAATGTGAGTGAAGATGAGTGCCAGTTTTAAATATGTGATGTGGTATGAGATACCAACTTATGTGAAGAACTTGTTTGTAAGAATACTCATAAAATTTTCTTGTGTATGATTCTGTGTATTCTGGTACAATCTGTAATGTAAAGGTTATGTATGTAGTTATGAGACACCGAGCTTTGTTTTAAATATGGTATTTAGTAACTGTAGGTGATTAAAAATACATTTTAATAGTAGAATGGAATAAGATGATGAACATGTACTTATAATGAATGAATAATCTAGAAGAGTACAATGGCACCATGACATTGAAACTACTTAAAAACAGCATTTTTTTTAATGCACAACTCAACAAATCACCACCTGTTACTTACTCTGCACAATGAGGCTCTATTCTGAGAAATATTGCTTTACACCACACGCATCTTAGTGACTTCATGTCGACCTACAAACCTTAAAACCATAAAATGAAGGCAAGTTTCGGGCAGCATTTTTCAAAGGGACTCTAGGAAATATAGCTTGTATGGAATCTGTAATGAATGTGTGAATTTAGGTACAGGAAATTTAAAACTGAGAATATATGGTTATTTCTTCTTCTTCTTCTTTTTTTCTTCCTGTGTTGTCGAAGTGTTTGGTATAGGAAATTCACTCTCATATGTGGCCTTATAAATCAATTATTTTGTTTTATAATCATGCACATATGTTGTTAAAATAAACACAATTAACATTAATGTGTGGTAAATACAGTTTTGGCCCTACCCTGATCTCTGATAGTGCAGCAAGGAAATGGAATCCATTTCTGACATGGAAGCACATACATGATTCCACTGTTCCTTGTGATATAGAAAGTGAGAACGATTGCACACAAACAAAACTTAAATCTCGGTGTGGGCTCCAGACAATGGTGGGGGCCTTCACATTCTCCACATTTCCAAAGTTGAAGCTTTGGCAATGCTGAAAACTTACTACAAGATCACCAAAATTCCCTGTATCATTCAAACTAGTGATGGACCAATGTCCAGACCCTTTCTTATGGTCTCACTCATTTTATATCATAAACTCCATATCAAATACATGGAAATACAATAATTGGATAAGAGATGTTTTGCCCACCAGAAAACCAAGGCTTAAATTTGTATATAAAAAAATAAAGAACCATTGCAACAATTACAAGAGATGCTTTATTATTAATACCCTTCACTTTATGCGCCGGGATAGCTCAGTCAGTATAGTGACTAGCTACGGGCTGGATGTCCGGGGGTTCGATCCCCGACGGGGGCAGAGGATTTTTCCTCTAGCCTCTGCATCCAGACCGGCTCTGGGGCCCACCCAGCCTCCTCTACAATGGGTACCGGGGTCCTTTCCCGGGGGTAAAGCATGGCTGGGGCGTGATGCTGACCACTCACCACCATCTAGTGCTGAGGTCAAGAATGAGTAGGAGCTATACCTCCACTCCCCCCAAGCGCCTACATGGCGTACAGTGGGACAGCTTTACTTTACTTTTTACCCTTCACTTTATATTCTTAGGGCAATAAGCCATGGAGGAAGAGATGATTGTGACACAGGAAAACAAGAAATGAAGACAATTTTGTTTTAAAAATTTCAGTGGAACCATGTATGAAATATACGCGTGGTCATGAAGTACATTAAAATGAATCTTAGAGAAACTAGTTGTGAAAATATGAACTGAACTGAGTTGTCCTAGGATAATTTCCACATGACAGACTTTTATGACTGCAGTTATGGACCACTCATTCTTTATCTCTCTCATGTGTACACAAAAGACCCTGCACCACAGTAGTAAGAAGTTATGAAAAATTCTTTCCTAGCAGAAATTCTTCTGGTACTTGCAAGCCAAGACAGCACAAATTTCATGATATTTATATGAAGAAATAGATATTACAAAAAGGCTGCAAGTGACACTCTGTTTCACTACAGTATCCCCCATATAATTCCATATTAATAAATAAATGCATTTTTGCAATTATTAAAATTTTTTACATAACTATACAGAAACATGTTATTCTTTGTGTTGCACCATATACCACAAAACAATTACTCTTCTTTTAAACTAAAAGTAAATACAGAATGTGTGCATACATTACAAAGTTTGGAAATTAACATTATGGAGTTTCATTATTCACATATTTGAAAAATTGTTCCCAAATGTAACTACAACCCTTAATTACAACATAAAAATCAAATATCTTTCTTTCAAAGTAACATGCAAAATCCTGTGCACTGTCTTCATCTTATGCAAACAGATCGTCAATACAATATGAAGTAGTTATTGCTCTATTTCTGTAAATAATTGACACTAAAAGCTTTAATACCTGTAAGACTGTTAATGAAACATCACTTCTAATATATCACATACTGATTGTGATGGCAACTTCTGCTTCAAAGTTTCATAGCAAATCTCATATATGACAAATGCAGGGAGAAATCTGTTGCCAAGGTCTAATATAATTCCAAAATCATGGAAAAAGAAACATTTGTACCCTAATCATATTAATAGGCTTTTTCTATCATAGTGTGTTGAACTCTTCTCAAATCTCCCAACATGAAATATTCTCATTAGCTGAATTATATAAGAAAACAAAGATAATGGCTGCAAGTAACTACATCTTTTCATCACACAATCATCAAAAATTAGACATAAAAAACTATGAATACAAAAAATAGTCAAGTGATCTTTCCTTCTAGACTAGATTCACTATCATTTTTGATATTTACAACATACTGAAAATCAACAGACTTGTATACATTACTGCTGTTTGTTTAATTTGTGACTTATTCCGTCAGCTCATTCTCCTGTGGTGGTTGCACCTGTTTCTGCACCATGCAGGACCGAGCTACTGACTCAAACAACCTGCAGCACAAAACGATATGACAGTAAGATCACGCAGCCTACCAGTCAAACAATACCTCACTGTCTCAGTCTGCAACAAACAGTAAAATATACAATCTATATATTTAGATGTCAACCTACATGTCTTCCTACAACTTCCTCGGAGATCTTAATTTCAGTGCCGTCACTTCTGAGGCAGAAGCATGTCATTAGGCCAAAATCACAGTGGTAATGTCAGCAGCACAGCAGACATGGTATTGTTATATTACACAACTTTCTACTTTGAAGTAGATTAGAGAAGAATGACAACTCATATTACTGGCACTTAAGCAACTGTCTTGCATTAGAGCAAAATGAAGTTTTGTAACATCAGACATTGGACAATACTCCAGACAAATAAAGCTGTAAAACAAAAGGCTATTAATGGACACTATTCTGATTCAATTAACATCCTCAGAATCTATTTTACTAATTTTCATTCTAATAAAATGGAATCCTTACATTACAGTTCTCTCATTTCATGTTTAATTTGTACAGAACTTGTATCATCATCAGTGATTACACCCCCCCCCCCCCCCCCCCAATGTTTCCCTTAGTTAGTAGTAAATTCCACTGTTTACCAGAGAAACCTTAAAATGGGCCTTTCATCACTTTCATAAGTCGCTGCTTTTCTAAGTTTTTCCCACCAGTGTTCCAAATGCCCCTGCCCCTTGTGTATAGCCTAATGGTTATCTCCTGGATTCAAACAGCATGAAAAATAATAGGAAAGGAGCAAAAGAATGACATCTGTTATGTAATTACCTACTTCATTTAACTCTCACCAGTCCCAGTATTTCCCTGAGCTTTGTTTACAGTAACTCCATACTTACTTTTCAATTTCTGGTGCACAATGTACAAACTCATGATTCCAGAATTTGTAAGTTGGATTCTTGATAAGCTCAATGAATGTAATGAGAAGACCCCAAGGATGAGGCCTGTTAACAATCAGTCGCTCAAGCAAAACCCTGAAATCAAACAAAACAAAAAAACTGAGCTGTTTGAAGACCCAAATTATTAGCCTGATTCCACGTCAACTCTGCCATTTTAAGCAAGGAGTGGTTCATCATATATGATATGTCAAATTGCAGTTAGTAATGTGACCTCAGACACAACTGTTTATAATTTATTCTGAATAGAAACTTTTCAGCAGTCTGACCAACTATAGCATACCAGTTACACAAATATGTTTAATTTGTGCTCAGTTTTAGCTGTTCAATTTAAATACCAGTCAGTTTTAGTGGCCTGAATCAATATTATTTCATATTAAGTACACGGTTAACTGCAGGTCACAGTGGCCACGCAGTCTGAGGCGTGGGTCTCATGTGCTAGGTCACTGTGAATGTGGGTTTGAATCCCACTAAGGCATAGATGTTTGTCAGTGTCCTTCTGTGTTGTGCTGTCCTGTGTATGGGTAGAGGCCTTGCGACGGACTGAATGCTAGTCCAAGGAGTCTTACCAAAAGAGCGCACCTATACTCCGTGAGGAGTGAAAAGGGTATAAGAAGAAGATAAGGTTAACTAAAGTAACTTTTATTGTTTCACTATGGATTGATGGTGTGCGTGAGAGTGATTTCACCCAATTTGGAGGATCATAGTGGTGAGAGCCTGGACTTCACAAGTTTGTAAAGTAAACACAGCCTGGAATCAGAATGAAGTGCTTCTGATAATGCAAATTATCTCACTTTGAAAGGTGGCAGAAATGATCAATTTTAACTTAAATCAATGCTTTTATTTCCACCCCAAAAAATTTGTTACTAAAAATAAGTAAGTTGTTTAGTACTTCTGCTTACTCTGTAACATTATTAAAATATTACATAAATGTAAATACATACATAGATTTGCAAACAAATTACCATTTTGTATCAAAACATGCCAGTGGTCTGGGAGACTGCACTGCACAAGATGGTGGGAGTCTGGAGTATCATACCAATTAAGGGTGAAGAAAGGTCTGAAGTACAATGAATGGGCTTCCTTTACCTTGTGATTTGTTCCTGGATTGCTTCTGTGTTAGCCTCAGCAAACAAATACAGCAGCGTACAACTGAAGTAGTGTGTATGGCTGTTTGGATACCGCAACTGATTAGCAATAGCATTGAGGAACAGGTAACGTCCTAAAATAAAAGTACATTACAAAATAACTTCAGAAGTAAATACACGTTGGCTATTTTAATATTACTGGCAACTCAACAGTACTCCATACTGGTATTGGCAGGAAAGAGCTTTTGTACTGCATGTGCAGCCTGTTTTCCTAAGTGCAGGATCAGTGCAATTGATGTATTATTATTTATTTACTGCAATTGGGTTTGCACCCGGTTTAGGGATCTCACCTGTCCTTCCCTGTATGGGTCCCAACACACAGCTCCATATTCAAGTATTGATCTCACTAGCGGCGTACGTTTCATATTGTTATTTCCCTTTTTGAGTATCTGCATTATGAAATGGAGGGTCTTCCATGCTTTAATTAGTGTGTATGGTGATACGAAGAATTAGGTATCATGTGCAACTGTGCTAATAACATACCTAACAAGTATAAGCAACACTCCATCAAAATCTAGGTTGTGAAAGGGTAAAATGCATATCAGTGTCACAAAAGACTGGAAGAAGCCTGTAGGCAACATACCCAGAAGACTCTAAATCCAGGCTATATATAAATCATCAGTTAATGAATTACAATCTATCAACAAAATGTTTGTTTCTCATTAAATTCTATACAAAAAATACTGTAAATTACCTTCTGTATCAAGATCCACAGCCAAATTCTGAAATATATCCATGTGGGAAGAGTGTGCAATAGTCGACATGTTTGGAGTAAGCCCTTTGTTGCGGATGAAGTTGATGGCTTGCGCGCCAACATACAGCACCAGGGCATTCATCAGAGGAATATTATAGCGCATCCCTGGCTCATTTGATACCTGCAAGTTGCTGCGCAAGTCAGACAAGAATGTCACTGGAGCTCTGGCCTTTAAGTAAGAGTCCAGATCCTGTAAAACAAGTTAACACATTCTAAGAGCTGAGACATATGAAAAGGACCAATGAATACCAAATTGTTGAATGCATCGAGAACAGCAGCAAATAATGTCAAGAATGAATGCATTTGGGGGGGGATCTACAGCATGGCAGTGGAGCTGCTTCTAACTTACTCTTTACATTGTAGTATGTGACTGTTGTTGGTACACCTTGAAAAACAGCAACCTACCATTTTACACAAAAATAATGTTAATTTATACCCCATCTCACATCACTGCTATCTGAAAAGTTCATATACTAAAAGAAAATACAAAAGTAAACCAGTCACGTAAATACCTATGCTAAGTACGTCTCTTACACTCTTCTCCCAAAAACCATTCATTTCTCAAAACTGTAATTAGCCTGGAACTGGCAAATTATGTCTCATCGTCAGCACTGTTTGATTGTGGCCCGGTCTGTCACAACAGAAAGAGCACACAGCACAATTTTGTGCCAAACGACTTGAAGATGAAGAAAGGTGATGGTGTCCTGAGTATAAAGGAATCTAAGGGATGTATCTTGGAAGACCAAACATGAGGTCTGGCTAATGACCAATGCTCATGTCCCACAAGAAGGGAACATGAGAGACAAATGTGGCAACGCCATGAGACACCTTGTCACTCAAGACTATAATACTGACATGCGTCTTGTGGACAAAAATGACCATCATCAACCATACTCACAGCATAACATAAATAACCACTAATCTGTCATTTTATACTGAAGAAATATTTTTTTAAGTTCCCCAGTTATAGTCTGTTGACATTTCTAAATAATAAGCTGTGAAGTAATTATATTGTACAACCAGATTATTAAATACCTTCTTAAAACTCATTGGCTGAATCATCGATGCAAAGTTGGTCAGAACACGAGGAGCATGAGCAATCTCAGGTAACATATCAACCTTCAAGTTGGGAGTGAATGGGTCAGGAAGCCGCATGTTCCTGGGAAATGCTGACAGGATCAGATTCCTCATCTACAATGCAACATAAACCACAAACATTTATAAAATGCATCACACTTAACAATATATGTGCATGTATATAAAACTGAAGTAGGTACAGCAAAACCTGGAAAACTGTATCATACTGACCAATAAATTGGAAGATTTATCCATATGCTTAGCATCATACCACAAAGACAAAGAACAGTGATATTGGAAAAGCATATTCATTTATAATCTCAGCTCCAGATGGAACTGAATGATCAGTTTCTAGTTCTGACTGCCTGTACCCCAAGGAAATAGTCCATGATACCCATCAGATAGGGTGCTGGGTATGATGAGGAGCTGTTTTGGGAAAAATATCCCACTAATCTTGCTGAGAAACAAACTCTGGCCTGAAGATTTCTGTCTTCTGGGTTGTTGCGCTGTGTAGTCTGGTCGATGCTAACCAACGTTTCAGAGGCAGCACTCAAATCATACAAACTTTGGCCTCTTGGTCTGTAGCCTATTAGTATAATGTGGCTCTCTTAACAATTATGTGATAAAAGAAAATCACATACAATTAAAACATTAATTGAGCTGAAGCCTTAAAAAAAACATATAAACATTTTTAACACACTGTTATTTAATTTCATCAAAAATGTTCACAGAAATCAAGACACAAGTCATTCTTTCTGAACCATCACATACCTGAATGCAGTTAGGTGGAATTACATCACAAAATCCATAGTGATAATCACAGAGAAATTCTGGGAAGTCATGCAGAAGCACCAACAGGACTCTCAGAGTTCCTTTGTATAAGAGTGTGACAGGCTTTGCGAGTTCTGCATTACGAAGGAACGGAGCTAGGAACTTGAACAAGTCGATGAGGAGCTGTGCATACATTCCCCAACCCTTTATGTGAAAGAACATAGACACAACATATACTTTCTGTGGGTCACTTGTATGACTATACACATAAATGTCAGACATTATGAGTTCAGTTGCACATGTCTGCCCCTAGATCAAGTATATGTAATAACATACCTAAACTAATGGTTTCATGAGAAGAATGAAGTCATACCTTCTGCTGTGGAGTGATAGCCAACATCCGCCCAATAAACACCCTGTGAGAGACAAGCTCAAGCCATGCGTATGCAAAGCCAGAAGCTTTGGCAGGCCTCAAAATATGCAGTGTGTGGCAGAATGCAGTGAGAACCTGGTAATTTATGGCCTCTAGGATTGGTTCAGGGGTGTTAAGTTCAAGGAACAGCATGATGAAGATACGATGATAAGGCAACTGCTGGAACTCGGTGAGACGGTTGTCATGATCTTGCAGAAGGACTCCAGCTACAATACCCAACACCTGCATATTAAAATTCCAACATACAATTACTTATTTTAATTCCTTTCAAGAGATTCTTCTTTCATATTTGGTCATTTAATTTTCATTGCACTTTGATTATGAAGAGAGATGGGTCACTTTACAAAATAAAGTCTCTTTAAGAGGAAGAGAAAGACTGAAAGCTTTTTAACTTTTTCTTCTTTCTCATAAAATTACAACTCTTGACACTTCAGAATCACACTCAATTTCATGTGAATACAACAGTCTCCATGTCCCCTTGTCATTCTTATAACAACAAAAACTGTCCTCAAAAATACTGTATTAATCTCTTTGGCTTATTCAATAACCAGTGATTTAATGAACACTGGAATCACATAAACTTTACAAAATAAGCAGAATTAAACTTCTATCTTGGAAGCATAATTTCTATACTGATGAACAACAAACCAACCACCCAATCATTCGAACTACTACAAAAAGGAGATTCCGCTTTAGAAACTATTATTCCTTCGGCTCATCAAGACATTTCCCATCATTTACGAAACCAAACCATTCATTACAACATTCACATGATCCACCACTAGACTATATCCTGAACATCTTGAATCCAGTCCACACCCTCATATTCCAGTTCTTTAATCCATTTTAATTCTATCCTCTCATCACCATAAAGTCTCCAAAATGGTCTCTTCTCTTCAGATTTTCTGATTAATACTTTTTATGAACTTATCTCTTCATACATATTACATGTCCTGACCAATTCATCCTCCTTGATTTGATGACCATAATATTTGGCAGAGTAGAAATTATGAAGCTTTGAATCTGTATGATCATGTGAGTTTTCAAAAGTATGCTATAATTGCCAGATACATATTTTCCAAGAAACTGTTACATAATGTTTGATTTTTAAGCACTTTCCATCATTTCCAAATGTAAGAAAACCCCTAACTATGAATAAAACAAACAAAAAAGAATGTCCATCTTACAGCCACATTCTTCCTCTTCGTCCTCTGTAGTCTATAGGATTACCTTAGTATAAAATATTGGGTTAAAAGAAAAGGGATCTGTAGTCAAATAAAAGTTTGCAAATGGCTGTGTTCTGGTTGCTGCGCTGTGTATTCTGGTCTACATGGTACAAAAACCCAGAAGACAGCCATCTTCATACTCACTACTGTGAAACCTCAAATTTTAGATAAAACTGTAATCAGAAAACTGGAAGTCCTGATGTACTCTTGTGGTGGGAGAATTAAACATTTATTTCTTTAAGTCACTAAATTCTGCAGAACTTGAAGGAACACTTGGAAGACCCAGGCATAGATGGGATAGTAATGTTAAAATTGATTTTAAAGAAATAGGACATAAGGTCTGGACCGACTTGTCTCAGAATATGGACCAGAGGTGGGTTCTTGTTAATACAGTGATGAAACATAACAATCCATAAAACACAGTGAATATGGTCAGCTGAGCAACTATTACCTTCCATAAAAGGACTCTGCCCCATAAAATTATAGTCAGATAAAAGTAATACAATTTCCTCTGCTTTCTTGTATAGTCCAATCAGGCAACACTATTGAAGTATAAAATGGAGGTGTGATATGCAAGTAAAATAAATCATGTATGGAGAATATTCCCATTGTAGGTCATTCCTCACAGAAAAAAAAAGTTTTTTCTACTCCTGGGTTTCTCAACCTTTCCCATAACTGAGGACATATTCACCCCTCGTTACTGACTCGTAGCTACAGGGCCATAAATTAAATGAGGGAAATATGTTGAAATGCCACTGCAATTTATAATTACAACAAAAATAACAATATAAGAAGCTACCAAATTAGGGTTACGATTACAAACTGGTTCACAAATGGCTCAATAACTATCTTTAACAAAATTGGTCTTTAGTCTCTGACACTTGAAAACTGTTTTTGCTTTAGTAACCTTCCAATATCAAGTTAATTCATCTTGTTGAGATGCATATATCCCTCCATGTGTTCAGTATGATGCACCATAGTTCTTGATTTGACATTCTTAATTAAGGGCTATGCTGGAAGCTGTTTATTGTGATAGGTACTGCCAAACACTGACATTAACAAAACGTATTTTCTGATATCAGGGAATTATTTTTCAACATACAGGTCAATACAGTATCATAAATGTTGCACAAAACACCTATTCTATACTCATAATTCAACACACACACACACCCTTCTGCAGACAAAACCATTACCTCCTTCAGAATGTGTTACTAAAAATGCATGCAAGTCAACTTACTTTGTTTAGCAGGTTGATTTTTGTGTTTGTGTTTGAAGCATCGCCAGAATGTTTCACCAATAATGCTATTAGACGAACAAAAGCATCAAGAGTGTGGAAACATTTTGTGCGAATCAATGTTGGTGTGCTGGCTGGTTCAGCAAGGAAACGGTAACACAAATCAACACACATCTGTGTGCTGAGACGGAAAAACCGTGTGATAAGATCATCAGTTTTCAGGATTCCGTGGCCGTTCATCTAAAACAAAGCACATCAAACTTAAATATCTAGGATCAAATATATTAATTTTAAAAACAAAGAACGTATTTCTGACAATAAAAGTTTCAATTAGAGATGGGATATGACAGATGAAGAAAAACAGCTACATGCTATTAAAAAATTATCCTCTTGAATGTCAATACTGACAGAACATCCCCTCTAATACCCTGAAGATAAAATCAAGAAAGATGTAATTTATTAGTTTCAAATGTTACAAGTAATGAAATGAGAATTAGATATTTCAAATGGAATTTATCTTCACATGTGCATGCAAAAAAAAGATTAAAGTTCACTCTGCATGTCTCATACTTTTTATATAAGTATGGATCAGTGTTATGTAAATAAAAGTATGCCCCGTTTTAAACACATAACTACACTTCTAAATATTTTGACACATTCCATACAAAGAGAGCTCTTGAAAAACTGCTTAAAATGTATCTAGTAAACATACATGAACACCCTTTCAGAGGATGATGGACATTACTTTATAAACAGCTTATAATACAAAGACTATGTGATAAAGGACATGTTACCTTAGATGTGGCTCCAAATTTAGTCTGAAATAATTTTCAGTATACTCAGTAACTACTGAAACATATCTAAAAAGGTATTTAGTATACGGACTGATTACCCAAATTATCAAAATCATACCAAAAACATATTAGTAATGATCTGAAATACCAAAATAAAAATGTGTTTAGTGACAATGGATTTGGCAATGCTGTTATTCCGATTTGTGATGCTGTGTGAACTTGTAGGTAGATACCTATGTTCCTCTTCAACATTATCAATCCAGATGAAAAACACTGTCATATTCACTGCAATAACCTAATATCTGAGTTGATTACTGCATGCAGGAAAATGGACAGATGCAACACAGTAATGTAAAATACATCTTAATATTGAGCAAAAGAAGAGGATTTGAATAATTCTAGCTGCTCTGGAGGAGGATGTTTGTAGGTAAGAAACATAAAATTGAAAAATCCCATGGTTAATCAAATTTTTAATACCAGTAGATAAAGTACAAATTTCGCTACGTGTCATGGTGATTTGTGGAAACATCACTGTTAAGTAAAACAGAAGATTAGGCATTTGCTAGAGAAAGGGGTCAAATGCACAAACACTGGAAGTAAATTCTACTTGTCTACAATAACAATCTTTGTACAGTGATGTGTATAAATTTCACATGAATACTTACAGCAATAGGCCATACCTGTTGCACAAATATACTGAAGGCTCTGGTTGGATCTCTTCCAGCTGTAGCAGAATAATGTATGGAAATCCATTCTCGCAGCAAAAATTCAGTTTTCTCCAGCAACCCAGGAGGATCGTCAAAATCTCTAGCCTGACCAAAAACATTCTTTTAAGTTTTATCCACAACAGCAAGATTATAATACATGTTACAAAACACTGTGGCGAAACATACCCTAACTTGCAAGATTCCTGAGTGAATGTGTGCTGTTGGACCACCCTGAGCTCGATCCACAAGGACACCTGGGTCATGATTGGCTCGAAGCAATTCGATCAGAGTTGTTAACCTAGAAGCACATTTTACAACCGTAAAGACAAATCTGGAGCCAATATTAATGCGAGAAGAAAGAAAGAATAAGCATGTTGAAATATCTGTATAACAAATATGTTGGCAACACTTCTGGTTTCAGCATGAGTGCTTGATGATAAATAAAATTACTATATGCTAATGCAGAATGCTTTTGCTGTCATAGCTTGTGAAGATTATGTATGCCACAGCCATAGCACTTAAACTGCTGAAGAGAGTAATGGCTGGTGATGCCAACCAATGTGATATGCCAAGTGCCGCTGCTGATCATACAGGTCTAAGGAATGTGTATTATTGACATTTCTCAGTTTGTCTCTGAATACGTATTACTAAAACGACTCACACATAAATATTCTGAGATGTTTTAAACCATAGGGGAAATGTTAATAAGCAAACCCACACTTTGAAGTAGAAGATTAAATTAAAAATGGATCTCTAACAATCTATGGATCCTATAAAGTCATTTTAAGATGCACAAGGGATGGATATTGCATATGTGCAAAGCTTATAATGTTAAAATGTAATGGAGCAATATAGTTCCAGTTAGCCAACCATGAACACATATCACAGAAAATGTAATTCCATTTCTGGCACATTAAGATCATAAACAATAACACAAAAGTTCATTTAATTAATTTAAAGAAAATTTAATATACTGTAATCAATGATTTTTGGATACATTGTATCAGAGATGAATCAGATTTCTAGCTGGTATAACATTTTTGCTTGTGCATTAATATAAGTACTCACCCATCTGGAGGCTGCCTGGAGTGGGTCGCAATACGTGCCAGCATCTCTATGGTATGATACAGGTCGCTCTCTGTAACATTGCTGTTCAGTCGTTCATCCACAAGGTACAGCTGCACTAACTGCATGGCAAATGCAACTGCCATGTAGTTTAAGCCACTATCCATAGATTGTGCTAAATGCACATCATACTGCTGTAGGCTGACCAAATGTGAACGAATGAGGCAGTCTACTGCATCTACATTATACCTGAATTCTTCTCGACACTCCATCAAGCATCTGTAAAAAACTTCTTTATCACAGAGAAATTCCGACCAGGAAACGTATTTAGTTCAAGTCTGAAGGTTTCTGGCATTATAACATATATAATTCATCTTTAGGCAATTTATAAAATTATAAAACTAGTACATATGAGAAGCTGAATTCTGCTTCCATCTTCAGGTAGAAAGGGGGGAGAGGATAACAGAAAACCGAGATCTCATCCAGATCTGAGATTATTTCAAATGGAGGGCGGGCAACAGCAGAATCCAGCTTCTGAAACATTTTAGTTTTATAATTTAGATGACGGACAAAGTCCAAAAGAATTATTCTACACATCGTGTTTAGCATTAAACTCGGTGAATATTTGCGGTTAAAAGGATTAAGTGAATATTCTGCTGTGGTTGCATAAAATATAAATTAACTGAAACATACCTGGTCACTTGTTTGTTAGTCCACTGTATGCCATATGCTCTAGGGTCTTGCAGGGCTTTCAAGATCCTAAGGTGAATATCTCGATATCTGATCATCATTTCAGGGTCGTTTGGCATTGAGGTTAACCCGTCCAACATTCCCTCAACAGCCTGAAGAGGAAACATTCCCATCCCAATAAAATCTAATTACATATTACATTCAGCCAGTATAGTGACTGGCTACGGACTGGACAACTGAGGTTTGATCCCCGGCGGGGGCAGAGGAATTTTTCCTTTAGCTTCCGCGTCTGGACTGGTTCTGGGGTCCACCCAATGGGTACTGGGGTCCCATCCTGGGAGTAAAGTGTGGCTGGGGCATGATGCAGGTTTGATCCCCGGCGGGGGCAGAGGAATTTTTCCTTTAGCTTCCGCGTCTGGACTGGTTCTGGGGTCCACCCAATGGGTACTGGGGTCCCATCCTGGGAGTAAAGTGTGGCTGGGGCATGATGCTGACCACTCACCCCCATCTAGTACTCAGAGTGAAATCAATCATATCAAAACACAAAACATTTTACAATACAAAATTCATTAATGAAGGAATGCAGACAGGATACTACATATTGAGTGGACATGCCAGCTGCTAAGCACTGGTGACAACAAATCTGGATATGAAATACGAACTTCTTACCATTATGGTTGATAGTGCAACACAAGCATAGATCACTTAAACACACACAAATTTAGATGGCTCTAACAGATATCACACAGAAATGTTGTTATGAAATCAGCTTTTCATGTAAACTTGAAATAAACCAGAATTAAACTGAAACTTACCTTTTGTAGTAGAGAAACAGCTGACATGGCATCTCTTGATTTTCTAGCAATAATCAGTGCCTCCAACAGATTGTGTAAGCTGCCAACTTGACAACTGGATGGTATAACTGCTTGATTTCCAATTATGTTTTGGAGGTAATGATCTAAATCATTCGCAATCTTTTCAAATACTGCACCAAGTTCATCTGTTCCATAGGTCTGTAACATGAACATGTAAATACAAAAAAGCAATCACATATCAAATTTTAGTAATAAGATAGCATTCTTTGAATTGAAATATCTTCTTTGTACTCACTAGTTGGGAAGGTCCTGAATTCTGAAATGGTGTTACTGGTGTGTTCGAGTCTGGCTACAGAAAAAACAAATGAAACCATGACTTTCAATCAACTCAAATTCATGGAACAGTCAATGAGAAGCTAACAACTGCCAAGCAAAATACACTTCATAATTAAATACTGTTTCTACTTTATCATTACAAGTAAAGATAAAAGAAACAGTAAAGTATAAAAAATTTACCGCAACAGATTTTGGGATGAACATTGCTGCATCTCGATCTGTGAGTGGCAGGAAGCCGGGAATGTTGCGTGCAAACTCTTCATAGACTGCCATCTGTTGAGGAGTAACACCTCCCACTTTCAATCGAATTTGTTCAGGCATACGCTCAGCCTGATACGTAAGTACTAGAGGATCACAGTAGCGCCGACCTTCATTGCGTGCATGTTTTCGTAATTCAAACTCCTAAAACATATTATTCACACAATTAAACAACACACATAACTACTACTATGATACAGAACTGTCACAATCTATATTTTCTACCTATACTGAATGCAATGGGAGATAGATATATTTTAGTCATTATAATTTAAGATGGTAGTTTACATAAAAAGATTAAACACCATGTACAGTTTTAATCCACTCTTATGCCATTCACATGGTAAGTTAAATATGGCCTGTCGCATCACATAATCATGCCAAATTAACATATAAAGCCCAACAGATACTGTTACAAAAATTGCAGGCAATAAATTTCTAACTTATTTTGAATAAAAATAAATTTTGTAGAATATCACATTTTTAACTTACTTACACAACTCTATTCTAGTTTCAATATTTCTTTAATTTAGTGTTCAGTTACAGTAGACCATTCATTTAACTCTCTAACATTCAGGTATGTATGTTGTAGGGTAACCCTGTAAGTTCACGTACTTCCACACGTACAATATTAAAATCATGGGTATAATCAAAATCCTAAGTTTTAGTAATAATATAGTCTACTCCCTGATTTTGTCGCCAAAGACTTTCCCCTTTTAAATGCTAGTTAGAAAAAACTCACCGTTACAAGTCGCTTGTCTATTTCTGGAATTGCTTTCTCGATAGCAGTTTTCTGAATGAAAGCACAGGCCAACTCCATGTTGTCCTGAGCAGCAACTGTCGCAGCCTGTTCTACCAAATCTTTCTGCTGAGGTGTGGCACTCTGAAAGTCAAAAAGATTAAAATGTACTGTATAAATTACACTATAACACCATTTAATCAAAAGTTTATTTAATACAAAAACTGTTCTATGGTTTCTTCACACAAGTTCTACTTACAGATTAAAAACATTCAACTGTTATGTGCTGTATTTAACCAAATTTCACAGGAATGTACGATACAGTTTGTTAAAACTTTCTGTGGCCCACCACTACTTTCACCACACTGTAACAGGTACATGTACACTGCATGTAATAAGTAACTTCCACAACTACAAACATAAATTACAGTACGTCACATGAGTTTCATGTACTTAGAAAGCAGTACAAGAAAATGTTTTCTTAGTTCCACACCCACCCATATAAAATGAACCACTGTCAATTACGGTACTCTGTGTCCACTATTGTCTCGTATTTGGGAAAACATAACACATCATATGTATGGGATTAGTTTAAAATATTAAGCATAATATTGCTACTTCATAGATGTTATTATTTTAATATTTTATTTATGAGTTATTTAACATAGCCAATAGCTCAAATTATACAGCAACAAGCAAGACAATGATTAGTGAATAATGAACTGGAATGGTTGTAGATGGCCAAACATTCAGTACTATCCTGGCATGTGGCTGGACAGACTACTGAAAACCACAATAAACTTGTCAGGGCAGTCTCCAGAATGCTGGATCTCCAAAATATGAAGCAGTAGTTCTAAATGCTTGACTGACATTTTGTGCTGTTCCTAAATAAAATACACATTCTCTAAGATGACTGCAACACACACACAAACTTACCATAAGTGTAGATAAAAATGTCTGCTTGAGATTTGTACTAATTGAAACCAGCAACTGATCCCGACAAGTAATCATAGCCATTCCTGCAGTCAAATTTCGAACCATATGATGTGCAGCTGCGCGCATACGAGATTCATCTGGATCTAAGGCAAAATCTTTCTTGACTATCTGTTCGCATGTGGTGAGCGCTATCTTGATGGATCTGTCCACAACAGGATGAATCCATTCCTGTACAGCTCGCTCCACGGCTGGTCGAATGAACTGCTTGAGATGAGGGTGAGTTTGGAACAGAGCCAGCTGTGAAAAAGATAATTTCCACTTTTATTTGTTACTGACATGAAAGAGCTTAACCCTACAGATGCAGCATTCAACAAGTCAATTATCCACTAACTTCTGTTCACTGTGATATACGATTAGTCCACAAAGTCACTGCAACACCTGACTTTACTTCCTACTTCCTGAGCTACAAAAATGCATTCCTACTGTCTGCACAGTGTTACCATCTTATCTGAGAATTTGAAGTTGCATACAAATGTCACTTCCCTGCAATGCAAATTCTGATGTTTTGAATGCAGTTGACACTTGTGATGACACCAATTTTAAGTACTTATATAACTAAACAAGTATGTGTAGATATGTGACTTTATATCCAAATTGTTCTGATTCTTGTAACTGCATAAAATTAATTATATGCTTACCTGTCCATTCACAGTTACATGAGGTGCCAAATTACCAATCCCAGCCACATTAATGTCCACGTAACTGAATCGAGGATCTGGTGGCCCAGCTGGCAAATTTGAAGTAGGTGTGGTATTTGTTGGTGCCACTGATGTGGGTGGTGTTGGTGCTGATGAGATTGCAATCTGAGATATCTCTTCTGCTGATACTACAGTTGCAGATGTGGCTGGAGCTGCAAGTAATAAAAAATCTTACTTTTGTTCAGCATGAAAAAGAATGTTATCAAGAAATGTGATATTAAATTAAAAGACAATGTCCTAGATTACAAACACATTATTCTGTAACTCAATATGGTCATCCCACGCTTTCAACTCATTCATTCAGTACCATTTTCAGTAACACGGTGGCTCTGTAAACCCATGTGGAAGGTTCAACAATTCTGTCAATCATAAAACTGCCTTCAAATTTGTTGTGGAAAGAACACGGTGACCACTCAAAAATATTTTCAAGCAGAACACACATTAACCCTCTGCAGCCAAAGTTAATCTAAATAATTTTTAAGAATTCAGCCCTTGCCACAAAAACCACAACCCTTCACCAATAAACAGATATATTGGTTAATGTTGTTTATGGAAATAATCACTGTTTACAGTCATTTGAAACCCATACATACAAAATGAAGAGTTGTTGATTTCTAAAGCAGGTAAGACATGTTGGTACCACTAGACTTTCAAGGGTTAATTATATAATCATACTTCATAATTTGCCTTGTAAATGTATTCAATTATGTTTATGTAAGATCTGAGAGTTGACCAACATAACCTCAAATGTCCATTTCCACCAAGTTGCTAACAGACAATGAAAAAGAAATAAAGTACACAAATCAGCTGTGTACATTGAATAACATGAGTAAAAACTAAGGCTTGTCATCACCAAATGGAAAAGGAAATACAAATTTTGTGCATCATCTTGTCCTTATTTTACTTTCTTGACACAATTACAAACACATCCCTTTAAAATCTCAAACAAAAAATATGTAGAATTTTAGAAAGAGAAAGTTTCCTGAACAATACAGATACAAAGACATTTTCTTCTTTTAAAGTTTGTGGTGTGTCATAGTAGCAGAAACGCACATTAAAAAGTTTAGTGCTTTACACCCAATACCCACTGGATAGGAGGTAGCCTAAGCCATAAAACTGATCTGATGCAGAGGCTGGAAGAAAAATCCCTTACTCCTACAAGAGACCAAGTCCTGGTCACCCAGCCTGCAGCAAGACACTAATTTCTGTGCTACCATGGCTCTATTTTAATAATATAAACATTCCTTTGCCAGAAAGACTGCTACAGCTTCTTTTCTATAAAAAATGTTCTATATAGATGCCTTCTTATAGTCTCTAATAATCTCCCAACTTTTTTTTGGTATATAAACAAACATGATCATTAGCCCGACACTTCAGTCACTTTACTATTTGCAAACCTGTCTGCTGCTGAGCTGGAGATTGCGATATGGCTGGCTGGGATGGAGGTTCTGGCTTTTTATTGGGATGTGATAACTGGTACTCCAAATTCCTCAACTTCTCCTGATCTTTCAGGTACAGAGATGGCTTCAGATCCTGTAATGAACACAATACAACTTAACATGATTACACTTAGCACAAGCCTTCTTCAGAACAGATATCTGAATTTGAAGAAGCCTGTGAAGCCTAAATGTAAGGATTAAAATGAAGCACTGCCAAGACTGCATTTTTTACATACTTTGTACATAGAATTATACAAAAATCAAAGATATTTCCAGCCGGATACTACATAAACATATTAGAACACATGAGATTTGAGGTTATCTTGAGTCCTGAAGATAGAAGCAATATATTCCTTAAAAATGTTGGTGTCTACTGACAAGTGTACAACATTACAATGCAGAAGACCAAAATCAGCATATTAACACTTGCAATTACCCACTACCTAATACATATTTCAACAAACAAAACAAAAATAGGGTATTCATTTTAACAGTTAGAAGTCATTCAACTACTTAACAAATACCTTGTTACAGAACGCAGAACTTCATCATTGTCACTATGAAAGCCCACCAATGGGACAATACTATACCCCTTTGATCAAAATATAACCTCACTATCTAATTCTAATGCTGCAGTACACTGTGCATGGGTGACAATTACTACTCCTGTGACATCACTTCTCTTAGATCCAAATAATCTCAACATTTTGTAGTTCAGATTTTCATGGTGATGTGTATTCTGAAGGCAGTCTTCTGGGTTGCTGCATTGCGTAATATGGAGCAATTTCCATCTGGTCCAGACACTGCTCCATATCCTCTCATTTCATGGCTGTGCATAGAAAATCCCCATGGTCTGCTCCTCCTAGCCCCTATTCAACACTTCAGCCCTCAAGATGGAGGCAGTTTGTTCCTCCCAAATGTTGGTATACAGCAACAACCCAGAAGACCATCTTCTACTACCAGCATTATTTTTTTTTCAAGCACACTCAATCGTTAACAAAGACTGTCTTTTGGGATGCTGTGGCATGTAGTCTGGTGTAACTTCACTGGTATATAGCTGGTAACTGCCTCCATCATCCGATCGACTTGATGATGGAAGCAGTGAGCACCTTTGAAACATCAGTAAACATCTACCAGACTGCAAGGTGCAACAACACAGAAGACAGCCATCTTTATACTGGTTGCTGTGAGAACCTGAAATCTCACAAAGAACTCTGGTTTCAAAATGCAAGACACACTCTTCAAGCTGCATGTTATATAGATTTTAAAAAATTTAGAATAAATTCCCATAACAAGGAACTAACAACATGATATGTCATCAACCACTCAAATCTTAAGCAAGAGCTGCATTTGAAAAATAAATTCACTTTCAAAATCAACTGTTATTTTGAACAACAGGACAAAAAGTTACAGAAGTTGTGTTGCTTCAATGTTTGATTATTTAAAATTTAGCAATGAAATGAACTAAAGGCTGGATATCTATGTAACAGAATTATATACCAAATTCTCTGAATATTTTGAGAACAATTTTAGAACCAGACGTTAAAGAACCCTACAAGATGCACTTGTAGCAGGTTTATAAACTAGAATTTGAAGACAAATTCAACAAAAAAAATTGTGTAAAATAAAATATACAAAGAGCAGAACATTTGTATAAGGGGAATGCTTTTCAACAAGCTGTCCTGTTATCTTTAAATTAAATTATTAGATTTTAAATGGAAGAATCAAAAATCCATTAATATATACAAAATGATGCTTACAAACTGACAACACAAAAGTCAGAATCTACAAACACAGGAACAGTGTCTGGCAATATTCTGATTTTAAGAAAACAAAAATTAACCAATAATGTTACAACAGTTACTTACAACAACATCAATGTTCAAATTCTTGCACAGAACTTCAATTTCAAACTTTAGGTTCAGCTTAAGATCTGGCTCTTGGTGAAGCTCTGCCAGAACGTTCATAATGGACATGGTCCATGGGTTTGGAGGTTTAAACACCTGAAAGAAGCAAAGGTGTGTAAAAATATTTACACATATTAGCCCTTATTCCAATCAAACCCATTTATTTTCACTGCAGTTAGCACAGAGAGCAGATTACATACCTTACTTTTTGAACAAGACTCAAGCACTTTAGCGACAAATGGTACAACATACAGGAGTTCTTGTTGTCCTTTGTGATAAGCCTCGGCAAGCAAGGCTTTCAAATCTATGTCCACTTGCAGAATGGGTCGGCTCTTTGCAAGAGTTAACATTCCAAGCCAATGACCCAGATTCTTCAACAATGACCGATCAGAAAAATTTGCAATACCTTTGTCACTTCGTAACAGCACCTGAAATAAGTTGAAGGTTAGTCATCCAAATAGATTAAAAAATTAAGCATGTAATAAATGAATCATGACAAACATTATTTATTTACTTATATATGCAAAAATACTGGTATGTTTCAACATGTACTCGGGCCATTTCAATGCTGATACCCTATTTCAGAGGATTTAAAGGAGTATTGTAAATATCACAACTGCAGATGTTGCTGAAAAATAAAACTATAAACTTAGATGTGTCAAATGGTAGAAAGTTAATGCCAATAATGCAGATAGTTTATTTATTGTACAACAGAAAGTGTTAATAGGAGGAGCTTTGACTACTATATAAGCAGAAAAACCTCTGTCTTGTTTGAAATTCATTTTATGCAGTGAAAGCAACATAAGAACAGCAAATTCTCTGAAGATACTTTTATAAAATCACAAAACAAAACATCAATACACAAACTTTTGAAAGGGATAGAATATAATTATGAACAACTTCATGAGAATCTCATCCAAAATGCTTTACATGCTTTGACAAGGGACAGAAATATCAGACATGGTATAACTTTCAAGGTATTTTTCTACTGATGAGAATGTAACTGTTTCTGCGGAAGCAATGCTATAATAGTACAGCAGGTTTAAAAGGTGCTATACCCCAATGGTTTAATGTTTAAATGTACTTATTTTTGGCACAAACATATATGTTTAAATGCCAGCCAAAAATTCCATTCAATATTTTAAAAATGTACAATAAGCAAATCTCAATTATTTACAGTAACACAGAAGTAAAAATAATGCATACACCGCAACATAATGGATAGTAAACAAAATCATTTCAACAATTCATCCTTTTTCTTTAAAGTGCAAAAAACAATTACATCATAAATATTTGAGCTGAACAATTATGTTGTCATCGTTACTGTAATAAGTTTCATGTTAAGCAGATAGCTTACTTTTATATTCCTAAAAGTTTCTCTTAACACCATTTGATTGAGCTCTGGAATCTTCAAGACATCTAGAAAGTTGGAATACAGTGTATGGAAGTTAAGTTCTATGCTTGCTCGCTTCATCACTAAATACTGGGCCATCCAGGGCCAATATTCCTCTGTCACAATGTCTCGCAGTTCATCACACTGAAAATGAAACAACATAGAGTAAAATGCAATGATTAAAACTTCAAATGTCTGAATTACTGAAGTTTGGCTGTCAGGAAATAGCCTACTATCAATGTTTCTAGAAAAGATAGTTCATACAAGATGGCAGCCAAAGCCTCTGACAGAAGACAACACATAAAACTATTTCTAACTGGTTTTTAATTAAAATCTATGATTATTAGACGCAAAGCCTGCAAGTCAATGGGACACAAAATATATCAATATTGATTTGGTATCAGTTTTATGCAATCCCAAGGAAAGACACCCATAGTCCAAAAATATAAATACAGCTCAGAATGAAATCATATAACCTAGGGGATCTCAAACTGCATCCTGCCAACATGTTTTATGTGGCATATGTACATTCTTATTATAATTTACCATGCAGCACAATAAAGAAATAGTTACTGCCTAAGTTAAAATATTATTGTAATTTTAAGTGAGTTGTTAATAAGAATAACAATAAAATATGTTAAGACACTGAGGAGGCCTAATATGTAAGCCTGTTTGCCTAGCATTTTTAATAACCTGGCATGAAGTTTCAAAAAATTGCCTTCATTTATATCTTAGCAGTTTGCAAGTTGCTAAAAAAAGGGTATGTGTGGCAGCAAATCTTGAATGTCTGGGGAACTGTCATATAGCTGAAAGAGTAAAGTTCAGAGGTTTTTTTACAATAAACAGTGATTTCCCTTATATGTATTTAGGAATTAACATTTCCACATCAGAACAACTAATAAACACAGTCATACTAAATACAGAAAAGTCTGGATACATGTTTCTAGTTCATTCTACAAATTACTGACAAAACAGTAATATGCCAATGAAATTATGATGATCATATCAGTGAAAAAGTTTCTGAAAGTCCTGACAGAGAGGTTAAAACTTACACTATACACTTTTGAGACCATAAAAAATGAATGACAAAGAAAAAAATTCCCAGTAATTTAATATGCCATGTTGCTGCAAATGCTTAAAACAAGGAGGCATACATGAACAGAGGTTACGTAAAATACAGCTTATAATGTTCATGCTGATGATGTGAATTCAAGCAGTCTTTTTTATTCATTCTGTAAAGGTATGTGACAACAGCTGATTCAATAAAAAACACTATGTTTGATATTATCGGAGGTATATTTGATAATACAGAGCATTACAGTCAGAAGTTGGTTTTATTCCTGTCTTCAGGTGACTGAATGTCATTATAATGTCCTTGGACAAGATTATACTAAACTGGTTTAAGTGCATATCTTTAAACTAATTCACATTCCATAATAAACACTTTAAATATTACCAACATTCACTGGATGAAAATGTATTGAAACAAAAGACTGCTCTATAATGAAAACCTGAAATAGTGTAATTTAATAGCTTTTGTAAACCTGATTACAAAGCATTTTTGTGAACTGACATCTGGGAAATGTTACTTTGTGAATGAGTGGTCATACACCTCAGTAGGTACTTCTGTTAGCTGACAATTTCAATTACCGCATAGAATTGCATATAAAAATATCAAAAAATCTCCATAAAATTCATTCCACTTTCTTACCCTACATAAAAACACCCAATAACACGACACTTTCAACTTACCTTTGTCTGCAAATTCAGTTGACTCAGGTTATTGAAGACAAAACCAATTTTATCCTGCAGGGCTTCTGGAGGAGCAGTCATCTTGTCTTCCTTTTCAGTTGCTACTAGTAACGTATCAATGTTTGTAGCATTTGCGATTGACGGCTGAAAAACAGGTAACAATACACCTTACACAATATTCGCCTTCAGTTCAACATACCTTTTGTTGTTGTACAATTAGCTTATACAGGCTTACATTCACACAAGTACAGTACTTATGTTCTTATGTATAGTGGTCAGTAAACTTATCTTATCTAAAAGAAAACCAAAATGTCTTGATAATTTTTCATAATATTCTCTAATATCAAACTTCATGAAAATTGTTTTCATCCACTTCAGAGTTGTTTCATGCATAATGAATGCACCTAAAAACTGAACCCAAATCATGCACTCTACAGCTCATTACTTTAGTGACAAAGCTACTGTATGAGACAACACTGTTTAATTACGCACTTGGTACTTGTACAAAAGCACATCAAAACAAATGTGAAACACAACCACACACCCACAGCATTAAACAACATGCAAAGAGGTCAAATGAAAAGTCAATAAAACAAAACACTGCGTACCCCACTTACTCGTGTAGCTATTGCTGGAGTGGTTGTTGGAGTTTTTGCTACCGTTGTTGTAGTGGTTACAGTTGTTGCTGTAACTGTCTTGTATGCAGTTGTAGCTACTGGTATGGGTGTCAACACTGACTGCAGAGTAACTGGCAAAACTGGACCCTGTGGTCTATTTGGAGGTTCTTGGGACTGAAGGCCATATTCCACATACTTAAAATTAAAGCACAGAACATTATTCAACTACTTAATTTAAACCACGACAGACCAACAGTATGATGGAAATAACAGGTTAGGAACAATGTGACACAAAAGATGGGAAGCTCATGTAAACAAACTGAGGGGGAGATTGCAATGACAGAGTTATGAGAAGATACTAGGTAGTCAGATGACCCTCTTAAAAGTGGAAACATTACAACCAAGAAGAATCAAGAGTACAGGATATATGAAATGTGAGAAGTATATTATTTATGAGGTAACCACCAAAAATTGAGAATGCACCCATTAAGATGGTACTGCATTAAATATAAAAGTGTCACCTTCATTCTCGATACATTAAACTAGATAAGAGAAAAATAAGAGCCAATATTTAGAGTTTCAAAACAGGCACACAGTATACCTTTATTTAGCAGATAGTATGATTTTGCAATGTTCAGTTACTCAGTACACTAAAGTAGTAAATCACATGGAAATAACTGGAAATGGAAAATTGCCTAAATCATCCACAACTGTAAATTGAAAGTCTAGCATCCATGTTTGCAAATGGTTGCTATGAGAGAGCTATGTGGTATATGGTGACGATGCCGCAAGACTCCTGGCCTACATCATGTAAGTAATGATGATGTGTGGCATTATCTGCCTGCCCATTGAGTTGTGAAATTCAGATACGGTAAATACATTCCAAATTCCACGTCATGTTGCGATGGTTTGGAGATTCAGAAAAATTCATAACAAGTACTTGCGTTTAAAACATGCTTCTAATGATGGCCCCAAAGGTGGCATCATGCAAAATTTGCATCACTTAAACATATTTGTTTATAAATACATTATAATTATTTTTGATACCACCTCATATATAAAATGAATTCCTACTATATTGGTTACCTCAATCAAGTGTGGAGGGAAATCACAAAAATGCTGGATTGCTGCAACGTGCTCACAGTACTTGTGGTAATCCTTCAACCGAGATTTGAATCGATCAAGTGCTGCAATTCCAAAGTAGTACATTTTGCTTGCATTTGGTTTCCTCAGGGCATCCAATACAAATCGCAGAGCCAGACCTAAGGTCATATAACTGCTATAAAGAAATAAAAACAAATATTACATGCAGACATTATGTTTTTTGTCTAACTACAAATTAAAGTTAAAACCTAACATCTACAGGTCAAATATTTAACTTATTGTTTGGAAATCAGAAACATATGTAGTTTATGAGTACCACAAAATAAAATATCTCTTTCAGACAATTGCCCATGCAGGAATATTTACATTTTTTAAAAACTTGACTTCATAAGAGATCCAAGTTTTAAGACACGAGCCTACATGCATTTTACAAATTTAAAATAGCTCACTGGAAAACTGATTTTTTCGGAAAAATCTGACTCAAATAACAGGAAGCATATGTCTTGTATTACATGGTAATAGCACAATTCCCTAGGATTATGGACGAAAATATAAGCTATTAGTTTTGTTGAAAGTTTAAACAAACATCCAAGGCAGTTTTCAACACAAAATATTTGTGTTTCTACACACAGCCAACACTTTGTAAATTTCATTCCAACCTAATTAACCCACTGTTACCACAGCAACAAAAACCTAAGTAATCGAATGAATAAGGTAGTTGACATATCAAAACAAAACTTCCAGAATTTACAACAAACAGTGGCAATCATGACAAGCAGTTAAAAGTCTAAGTAATAAAATAACAATATAACCACGCAGCATTTAAATGCAAAAACACAATTTACCTAACAAGACCTCGCTCAATAATACCACCAAAAAGCTGAGCAGTGATATGCAGCTCCTTATCTGGATACTGGGGGAAAAACTTGTACTCTTCAAAAAGATTCCGCAACATGCAGTTGAAGACCTCCTGCAAATACAAAAAAACCACAGATGTTCACACTATCTTACAGAACACATCAACATATCCTCTTGGCCAATCCTCTTGCTCCCCTCGGCTCAACCTATTTTATATGCCTATTCTTTATTTTGGATCTGCAACAAACCTCAATCACATGATTTGGATACGATAATGTACAAAATACTTTAAATTTATAACAGCAGCTTGAGTTCAGGCAAAAGAATTTTAGTATATAGTTACTTTTTAAAAAAAGTTCCTACACACCAACTCACAGACATTACACAAAAACAGAGGACTTCACAGATCCTTCAAGGATATAGGTACACTGAATTGCAAGAACTGGTGAAACTGTTGTATTAACTTACTCGCTCTCTCTTGTTGGATGAATCTTGAAACTTCTTCAACATTTCTAGAACCTCATCAATTGATAAGGTAGGATGTGGTGGGTGGTTGTAAATTCTCTGAAAGTAGCTGTTTGCTTCATCTTCAATTTCCTTTGACACGTTCTGTGACATTTCTGGAAAGATGCTTGATGCTTCACCTGAAATGAGGGTACATCAATAATTTAAAGCAGTTTTTAAATAATCAACTATGGGATATTTTTGCTCTTGCTCATAATTCTCTTGTAACGTCCTGTAACACGTAACACTTTCTTTTAATCTGTCCTCAGATTGCTCTTTCTGATTGCATCATCTATTCTTGGTCACATTAGTGAGGGATACCTGGTCTTAACATGGCAAATCCCTCTGAGATCATGTTTCACTACTATACAAAACAAACAATAAAATATTTGGTTTACTTGTCACAACATTTAGTGTTTTTGTACAGACAATAATTTTCCTGAATTTACTCATAATTTAACCACAACAATAATTTTTGTCTTCTTGTTCCCACACATTCACATTTTTAAATTATTAAATATATTACTATAACCCGCACAATAGTCCGTAACTTTCAAATCAAGAAAGCCAATCTCCCTGATGACAGACACAGTATGACCTCTGAAATGTTGGGAAACATCTACCATACTACACGGTGCAACAACCCATAAGACAGAAATCTTCATACTCATCGCCCTGATGACGGAGGCAGTATGACCTCTGAAATGTTGGGAAACATCTACCATACTACACGGTGCAACAACCCATAAGACAGAAATCTTCATACTCATCGCCCTGATGACGGAGGCAGTATGACCTCTGAAATGTTGGGAAACATCTACCATACTACACGGTGCAACAACCCATAAGACAGAAATCTTCATACTCATCGCCCTGATGACGGAGGCAGTATGACCTCTGAAATGTTGGGAAACATCTACCATACTACACGGTGCAACAACCCATAAGACAGAAATCTTCATACTCATCGCCCTGATGACGGAGGCAGTATGACCTCTGAAATGTTGGGAAACATCTACCATACTACACGGTGCAACAACCCATAAGACAGAAATCTTCATACTCACCGCTGTGAAAACCTCAAATCATACATGATAATCTTCATTACATTGATACAAACTGAAATAAAAAGAAAAGACTGTGGTAATTCTTAGTACACATACCTAACCGTGTCTTCTCCACCCCGGACTGTGGGCCCATGCGTCCTCCAAGTGCCCCAATGGCACCAACTCCAACACCAGGAACAAGGGATGTGGCAGCTGGTCCAGGTCCAACCTGTGTACCAACTGCTCCAGAGTGCTGCAACTGAGAACCTAATGAAATAAGGGGAAATGGACTCTGTGATGGACCTGGAGCAGTAGGACCCATGATCCTGGAGGGAGATCCTGGTGCAGAAACTAATGGGCCCAAGGCGCCTGGCAGATTGAAAGCAGAACTGCTAGGAGGCCCCATACCTGCTGGAGCACCAGCAAGATTGATACTGGCCAAACTTGAACCAATATTAGCAATAGGGTCCACTTGAGGGACCTGAGTTGCAGAAAACAACTGAAAGAGAGAAGGGTCCTTTCACAAATACATCAAATTTAAGGACTATACATGGTGATTCAATGGATCCCTTGAAACGTAGCATAGCAAAATCGAGACAGAATAAACCTTTTTGCATGTTACTAAAATGCACACTGTTCTGAAGGACAAATGCCAAGTTGTATTTGTAAAAAACAACCATAATCTCACTTGCACATACATATAATACAATGACAAGTACCAATCTTTTTATGTTTTAATATATTATTTTAATTGTATTTCCCATATTTTGCATTTTCACAAAAATTTTAAAAACCTAAGGCAATAAAAATAAGCTAATGAAGAGGTGGTGTCAGTTGTTTACTCAACATTTTGCTTACTTGTCCTCCAAGTGATGTCGGATTAAATCCTGGTTCTATGCCTCTGTGTCGCAAAACTCCAGGAGGCGGTTGTCGAGGTTTGCTTAGCAATATACTACAATTACCAACCATTGTCAGGATGGTCTGTGACAAATCCTGAGAAACACTCCTAAAATAAAAACAGATTACAGATTCATTTTTAATATTTGTCAAGGACAAAAACTTCAAACACTAATGTGAGTAAAGTAATGAAGTGAGACATGCGAACTGAAGTAGTGGGTTGGAATATTATAAATTTTACAATGAACATAAAGAAATAGGGATCTACCACACAAAGTAAAGCTGTGTTGTGAGTGAAGTCATTCTACTGACTGGACTTTCCCAGTTCTCTAACAAGTTTATGAAACGCTGCAAGTCTGACATGTCTGCACAATCCTAATTGTGATATAAATACAGCAGGTTTTTCTGAGGCTCTTCACTGTCCATGATTAACTCCAGGGTTATAAGAGAATACTAAAAAACATACAAACTACATACCCAGCACATCCCTGAAGACAAGCTAGCATCGTTGTTAACGTCTCATGAGGTAACTGTGCTGATTTAGGTAAGTTTTCTTCCTTCACATTGTTCCCCATTATCTGTGGACACCGACGCTAAAAATGCAAGTATCATTAAGCAGAGACAACATTAGCAATAATCCTATATGTTAAAAGACTGAGACATAGACAAGAAAGCAGCTGCGTACAAGAATATCTATGATATAAATGGCTCCTTCCTGATCACAGGTTTACCTATAATGGTTCAGTAGTTATCATTGTAGTTGGCAGTAATTTTAATCAGTTCTAAAGCTGCAGTGCTAATACCGGGTCTACAATTTATGAGGCTGCGGTCGTGCTTGGATTGCGTGGTCGGCCGGCGCTCTGTTGATGTGGGCAGGAGTTGTGCGCGTTCTTCCGGTGGGTGACCGGCTAATCAGTTTCAGTGCCGCTAGTAACAGCGAACTATGAATATTTCTCATCACTAATACATGTTATTACATTAATTGTTCTTACCTTAAATCACGAAAGATGTTCAAAATGACTTCCTTGTGCTTGCAGGCAAACTTCACATCTCGTTAACATGTTTCGAAATACTTGAAGAAGCTCTTCTTGGGAAATTGCCGAAATCAATTGTCGAATATTTTCTTAAAGTTCTTCTGCAGTGTGCGGAATGTTTACATAAACTTTGTTCTTCAGCATGCCCCACAGGTAAAAATCGCACGGGTTTAAGTCTGGGGAACGCAGAGGCCACTGATCTATAACTTGTTCACCAAACACTTCTCTTAATGCTAACATCGACCGATCAGCTGTGTGAGCTGTAGCATTGTCTTGCATGAAGAAACCGTAAGACTTTTCTTCATTGATCATTTCTTGGAAAAAGGGTCTAAGTATTAAATTCACATAACGTTCACAATTTATCTGCACACTGCAGGAGCACTTAAAGAAAATATTCGACAATTGATTTCAGCAATTTCCCAAGAAGAGCTTTGTCGAGCGCAGCAATAGGAACACAGAAGAATGTGGCAGAAGGAACTAAATGGGTCTAAGTAGAAGTCAACAGATGTAGGTGATGTGAACCCTAATTTGAGACAGTGATTTAAATTACAACTAATCACCATTTGGCAAACAGTTCAACAATGAGGAAGGATGCAACATAAATGAACAAATAATTCAATTATGAAAGCAATCATCACTTTCCAATCAAAGTGATTAAAATACAGATAAGAGATTTTTTGCTCATCAGCATAAAAGACACAATTAAAATTAATTACCTTATCCCGAAGTGTGATACCGGAAACCACATACATCACAGAGGTGTTTCATTTTTATGCATGTTGAAAGGTATAATATGAATAATTACTTTGACATATCAGACTTTAAAAGTTACCTGCAGAAATTTGACACAAGCTGATATGAAAGGTTCTCCATGTTCTCGAATTTTGTCAGTCAGCCACTTCTCCAATTTCAGATACTCCCGTCTTGATGCAAGACATGCCAAATCAATCACAAATGGAAATGACTGAGCATTCAGCAACATTGACAAAGCCTGAAAGGGTTCAATATGAAATTCATGTTATTAAAATAAAAATATAAAAAACTTTACAAACTTGGAAAGGCAATCAATTTATTCATAAAACTAACTGTGCCATGTGAAAGAAAAGATGATTACCTTCAGATCTTGTGCAACATCTAATATTCGAGACAGCTTTGTTTGGTCACTATCACCTCTGATATACCATTCTGCCATTGCATGCATGATAATTGGTTTGATTGAAATATTCTGCAAAGAAAAACATAATATCAACAACACACTTATTTTTCAATAAAGATTTTCATTCTGAGAATGGGTGTGCTATCTATAGACCAATCAGACCATTTTCATTCACAAAACAAAATACAAGACATATACCCTTCTTTAATGCACCTGACTAGACACTAAAATAAAATATAAAAACACGTGACATTTCAGTTCCTCATAGTGGAAAGCACAAAGTCTTCTGGGTTGTTTTGTCATGAAATCTCACAGAAATTGACTAACGTTTACTGCCTCCATCATCAACATTATCAGGGTAATACAGTAATGTAAATTTATGAGACGACACAGTGCGACATACCACGAGACAGTCATATTCATAATAGAAACACATTAATTCAAGAAGTAAAAATATTAAAGCCAAGGGAAAAAAAAATAAAGACACAAAAATTGCCTAAGCACATGGCACTCCAGTCAACAGATGACGCAGTAATTACCAAGAAATCTGATCCAAAGACTCAAACATTCAAAATTTTAAGACAAATTAGTTGAATCAGTTTTCCATAAGATTTCATTCATTCAAAATGCAACTGATCTAAAGTCAATAATCTCAATGCTGAATTGATTCCATTTGTTTTTTTTGTTTAATTCACAAATCCATTGTCACTCAAGAGACATATCAAATGGCATTTATCAGTATGTAACATCCCAATACTTTGCACACCAATGCTTAGAATTGGGAAAAAAATATGCTTTCATCCATGACACAGGATAACAATTCTTTTTTCTGCCTACTAACATTTATAGTTTTGAAACTGAAATGTCGATCACAATTTGTACCGTACCTGTGAATGCCATGCATGATGAAGTATTATGGCTGAGTTAGGATGATTTCCTAAAAATATAGGTATCAAATTTGTAAGTAATTCTTGACGTAGTACAGTAACTGGAGGATTGATCTGTAAAAGTGCCAATACCAGCACATCTGGACAGTGTTGTATTGGTAATTTAAACATTTCCTGCACTTGAGAGTAGAGGCCACGATCTGACAGGTACAGTAAGGTTTCCACCAGGTCCAATGATCTCCAAGTGGTGATTTCCTTATTATCACTTTCAGGAGGAGCCTTCAAGATGTCCACAGCCACTGAATGGAATTGATAATCAGCAAAACAAAACACATCTGGATTTTTTAAAATTTGCTGAACCAATGAAAACTGTGGAAAGATAAAATACATTAATATCTCATTTTTGGAACAGAGAAACATTAAAAAATCATGATGTGTTCCACACAAGACTATCAAAGGTGCATGAAATAGTCCCTACTTTCATGTAATAAGTATAAGAACTGAAGATTTCTGTCTTCTGGGTTGTTGCACTGTGTAGTCTGGTCAATATTTGCCAAGGGCGATGAATCACCCTGATGACGGATGCAGTATGACCTCTGAAATGTTGGTAAACATCGACCAGACTACACAGCGCAACAACCCAGAAGACAGAAATCTTCATACTCACTGCTGTGAAAACCTCAAATTTTACAAGTATAAGAACTATTTTACATCATTCTGATTTGTTCAGAGCAACAATATTTGACTATTCAGTATGATCAGAGGTTCTCATGGTGGTGAGTACAAAGATGGCAGTTTTCTTTCATATCAAACAGCAAATCAGAACTTGGATTTAAATATTAAATTCTCATTGAATGAATTTTTTGTGGGAGATTAAACACAAGAAAGAACTACCACAGATCAAATAATCATAACTTTATCTCACATTACAAGGTTCTATAGTACCATTCACCTGGCCATCCGCATTCTTCCAATGCCTGTACAAAAAATCAACAGGGAAGATTTCTGGACGAAATCCTTGATTCTGAAGCCCTAGCCTAAGGGCAATAAACAGAAGATTTAATCCTTGCCTGTCTTTCACAACAAACTCTGCGTGGTCCAACTCTATGATGATATCATCCCATGACAAACTTGGAACCTAGAAGGAGAAATGTGTCTACAGTTCACGTTTTCTACATAAACAGCTTTCATGCATACTATTGTTTAAGTCTGGATCCAGCCACGTAGTATGGATGTGAATACACGTTGGCTGGTCAGGCTTACGACATACAACATTAAACATATTTACAGAATGTAAGGAACATAACAGAACATATATGTACAATCAAACTTTACCTTCAAATGTGTCTGCAGCGGAA